TATGTATTTGGGGAGTTCAAAACCCAATTGAGTCAAATGTATGAAAGATGATATATCATGAGCTCTGTAATGTTTTGAACAATCAATAAAAAAAAGGAAAAAAAATATATATTATAAAATGGGTTTTTTATAAGCATCATAATTAGGTTTATCACAAGGAACTCCAAGAATAGAACTACAGAAAAGCTTAGAACCAGGAATTTAAAAACTAGACTCAATACTTCTTACTGGGGAATATATGGCTTCTTTTTTTTTTTTATTCTTTATTTGTAGTTGAACACAATACCTTTATTTTGTTTACTTATTTTTAATGTGCTGAGAATTGAACCCAGGGCCTCGAACATGCTAGGCGAGTGCACTACTGCTGAGCCACCACCCCAGCCCAAATATATGGCTTCTTGTGTTGCCTTTGATTTTTCTGCCTTTCTCTAGAGACCTTTGCTATAGTGTGCTCATGGCCAAACATCCCACAACCGGCCCTGGCTTTAAATCACTTCTTATACATGTCTGAAAGTGATCTTGACTAGTGTCATAATCTAAATCTCTAAAATTAAAAAAATCTGATTGGCTGCATGGGACAGGTACCAACCTCCAACAATGAGCAAGGAGTGGGAAGGGAGAGGCAGTTCTCAGAAATAGGAGACAACAACTCAACTGGGTAGTTCTGTTGTACATATTATTTGGAAAAGGCAGACTTATTCAGGTAAAATGCACAGATCACACAGTGCTACTGGATGTTTCAGAAATGGCACTTATATGTAGAAAATATTAAATGCATGGAATATAAACAGCTGCCTGTCACCTAAGATTGTTATATTTCTATATCTGTAGTTTAATTGCTACAAAAGCCAATGAGTTCATCAAAAGACCCCTATTTAATTTCACAGAGAGATCCAGCAACTTTACTCAGGCCTCCCGAGTACACTTGATGTTTTCCACTATTTATCTAACAAATTTAGAATACTAATTTTTACTCACCAAATTCTTAGGAACTTGTTAATTTTTGAGTTAGCTTATCACTATAGTTTCATGATATATTAAATGCAAGTTTGATGAATGTTTTAAGGTTTCTTTTCCTAAGCCACTACACTTGTTGACATATAAAACATGCTCCAACAAATGGTGCTAGTCAAACTGGAAATCCATATGCAGCAAAATAAAATTAAACCTTTATCTCCCATGCTGCACAAAACTCAAAGTGGATCAAGGACTTAGGAATTAGACCAGAGACTTGTACCTAATAGAAGAAAAAGCAGGCCCAAATTTTCATCATGTCTGCTTAGGACCTGACTTCCTTAGTAAGACTCCTAAAGCACAAGAAATAAAATCAAGACTCAATAAATGGGATGGATTCAAACTAAAAAGCTTCTTTGCAGCAAAGGAAACAATAAAGTGGAGAGAGGCAACAGAATGGGAGAACATCTTTACCACATGCACCTCAGACAGAGCACTAATCTCCAGGATATATAAAGAACTCAAAAAACTTAACACCAAAAAAAAAAAACAACAAAAAAACAAATAACCCAATCAATAAATGGGCTAAGGAAGTGATCAACAAATATATGAAAAAATGTTCACCATCTCTAGCAATTAGAGAAAT